AGTAGAACACTGGAAAGCAATTATAAAGGTTCTAAGATATCTCCGATTCACTCGTAACATTGGGCTGAATTATACTAGATATCCAGCAGTACTTGAAGGTTACTGTGATGCAAACTGGATATCGGATACTAAAGACTCGAAGTCCACCAGTGGGTATGTTTTTATTCTTGGTGGGGCGACTGTATTATGGAAATCTTCCAAACAGACTTGCATTGTTAGGTCTACTATGGAATCAGAATTCATAACTTTAGACAAAGCAGGGGAAGAGGCAGAATGGCTGCGCCACTTCCTTGAAGATATTCCAATATGGCCAAAACCGGTGCCTGCTATATGCATACATTGCGATAGTCAATCTACAATAGGTAGAGCACAAAGTCATATGTATAACGGTAAGGCACGACACATTCGTCGTCGACATAACACCGTGAGACAACTACTCTCTAATGGAATTATTTCCATTGAATATGTGAAGTCTAAAGACAACATACCAGATCCACTAACCAAAGGGTTAGCAAGAGAGTTAGTTGAGAATTCATCAAGGGGAATGGGACTGAAGCCTATTAAATAAGAGTTACCACAACGGCAACCCAACCTAGTTGACCAGAGATCCCAAGATCTAGGTTCAAAGGGACAACCGAGTTGTGAATGACTTAGAAGGATCACTGGGGAGTCCAACTCCTACCCATTTCTATAATGAAATAGTGATGTCTGCAGCGTTTTAGGTTAAATAAGATTTTAATGATTCTTATATCTAGGTAAACCTAGTGGAGTATGACAGGATATTCTTCATAAGAATTACCTATATAAGTGTGAACTGGGCCGGTTTTATGAGATTTGTGAAGGGCTAAAATTCTCTAGAGCACTCATGAAAGACCAGGTTGTTCAGGGCCAAAATGAGCACAATAGTGAGAACTAAACTGTGTCTGGGGAAATACTGTGTGAGTTCTATTGTCTTGGTTTACACAAACGGCTGAACAGTTCAAGACATCATGTTCACTGATTTGCTAGTAAATCCGATAGTGTCTCACAAGGGAAGGTTCAAAGCCAAAAGCTACTTATCCTTTGCAGAATATTTCCAATTTCTGTACTCTCTGTAATTAGATCATGTTGTTGTATTTTCTCTCCGTCAAATTCCGTTCATGTGGGGATTGTTGGAAAAATTGGTTTATATAGGCATATTTTGGGCCAACTTTGAGCCCAAAATTGAGTGGGCCCCAAACATCTTTTGGGGTGGATCCGAAGAGGGAAAGTGTTCCTTGTCGCGTGGCAAATCACACGGTGAAGACGGTTTGTCAAAACCATTTATGAGTGAATGAGAACATGACGTCGTTTTCGGGTTCGTGGAATAAGAAATTTAAAGAAGTAAATATGGGTTTCTTTGGAAAGGGATTGTCCCACATTGAAACTTTGAGAGAGTTTATTTGTGTATATAAGCTCTAGCCTACAACACTATAACACTTGGGTTGGGCCTCAAGGGGCACCCCAAGTTTGTTGAAGGGAGGAGTTATGGACAAAGTGAACCTTAGCCCAAACCACCACACACGTGCGCACGCTGCCGCCGCCCGTCTGTCTGGCTGAGCCGGGTGTGAGTTGTGGTTCGGTTTTAACTTTAATTTTTTGGACAAAATTCTTTTGAATTTATTTCAAAATTATTGCAGGAATTTATTTCAAATTTGAATTTGAAATTCAAAAATTTTGTTCATAATATTGTGCCTCTTTCAGATAAATTCCACAACTATTAAAACAGACCAAACAGGTCTTATCTGTTGAACCCAAACAGGTTTAATTTCGGACAGATTCAAAATTGAATAACTGCCCAGACAGGTTCAGCAACTGCAGCAGTTATCTGTTCAGTTCCTATTTGCACCTGTTCATTTGAATTCACATCTGTTCATTCAAATTTTGGTACCTGTTCGGACAGCAGCTTTTTGTGCCTATAAGTACATGACATTTCCAGCAGTCTTGGTACCCAAAAAAATTCAGTCTGCATTCTTTATATTGTTGTCCAACTTTTATTTAGTGCATTTTCCTTTATTCTAGTTTTAGGAAAATAACAAAGAGAGTATAGAACACAGGTTCTAGTTCGCCGAACAAATTTGTTTGAAGTGCTTCTACAAATTTGTGATTTGTAGATCATTGTATCCTGGGAGATAGACGCTACTCAACCGTAAGCATCGTAGCGGGGCGAATCTGTCTTAAGGACAGAGTGTCACACACTCGACTTGGTCTTTAATTATTTATTCGGTTCAACAAAATAAATTCTGTAAGTTTTATTTTATTTTGTTTGGATTATTTCAGTTTATTTTATTTACACAGAAGATTGTTCCAACACCTAGTTGGTAAGGGAATATGCTTCTCTCCTTACTGACCAGGGTTCGAATCCCCTACCACTCAAGTGGAAATCCGACGGTTTAGCTAGATCAGCTAGCTTCCCCCAGTTTGGCTTGCAAGGTTAGATCCTAAGGGAGCCTTGTAGGTGTTTTGGGTATTAAAAAAAAAATATATATATATATATATATTGTTAATTGCAATTCTTTAAGCTAAAATTGGTTCATAATAAACCTATATTGGGGATTAGGTTTGTTTACCTGCACCATTTGCCCCAAGCCTAAAGATCATGCTTAACACATGTGATATATAAAAAGGAAATAGAATTTTGAAACGTAATCACATTTATGTATTTGCTCTTCAACATCAACTATTTTTAGCACCATATATATATAAATAAGGTTGATGTAGTTAAAATTGTCAATACAAACATACTATGTGTGAGACTGGATAGAGAGAGAGAGAGAGCCTGTGTAGTGGGCAATAATTTTTGATATATTGATTTTACTTGTTGATTTTTCCAATAATAGGTAGGCAAAGTTAAATATTTGAGAAAAATATTAATTATAATGTTTTTTTTGAGAATCAAAATTGTGTGACCAAACTTCATCACCGGCATAAATTGTGTGTTTTATTGCATAATAGAATAGATATATTATATATATACACATTTACAAAACAATTTAAGACCTCAACAACTGAGATAATAATACTATCAACGGAATATCACCGATCATATAAAACAATGGGGAGCTTACCAATAAGTCCCATATACAAAGTTTAAAACCCATCTAATCTCAAAACAAAACACTTGTTGCACTAATTAGTCTTATATATTTTTAATTGTTATCAAAAAATCTCTTCTTTTTTTTTTTTAATTTATAGATGCTATTATATCTCATTATCCTCAGACTTCTGTCAAACGGCCACCGAAGACTTGTCAGAATGTTCAACATCGCCGAGATGTCACTGGAGTGTTATGAACGTCAATGGAAGTTGCTGAAATGTATAGAACGTTCGTTGAATGTTAAGAACATCATTGGAGACTTACTGGAACGTTCATAATATTGCCTCCAAAAAAGGAATAAATGGAGAAATTGTAGCGAAAAACATAGCAAAATGTGCTAAATATTGATAAATTAAAAGAAAAAAAAAATGTAACGACAAAAAACAGAAATAATGGGAAAAAACATACTATGTTATTTTTCTATTGATCAAATTGAAAAACAAGTTTTGAAACTGTAATATGTTACAGTTTTAAAGTAAAAATCTATTAAGTATTTATCCTTATTAATCAAACTAAAAAGCATGTTATAAAACTGTAAAATTTTATAGTTTTAAAAAATGTTATGAAACTGTAAAATTTTTCAGTTTTAAATCATGATTCATTCCAGCACAAAAAAAAAATAATATTGAAACTCTAAAATTTTACAATTTTCACCGCCTGTAACTAAAACTTGAAAAAAACTTGTTCAGAACTTGAAAATTTTCTCCATTAAAATAGAAAAATAGAAGTGTATAGCAAAGAAAATGTAGAAAAATTAAGAGATTGAAAGAGAGAGGCAAATATATAGAGAGGATTGTACTCCGACAACTATTTTTTGTTTAGATATAGTCGGATCTGATGTAAGTAGATCTACTTATCTTCTTCGTCGGAAACATATCTTCTTTACCGTCGGTGAGGGTGAAGTAAAGAGTCGGCGGTTGGTGGTGAATTTCAATCGATGGTAGTCTTCGATCGTTGGTGACTATATATCAAAAAGAGAATGAGAAGAAGTAAGATGTGGTTGCCCGTTGACGATCACCAAAAATTACAAAGAGCAAAAGAGGTAGAGAAGAAAAAAAGAAAGAGAAGAAGAAAAAAATTATAGGACTTTTGAGTATAAACAAAAGGTTATGAGACTAAATAGGATACACGTTTCTCAAAGAAGATTTTTTGGTAATTTTCCCTAAAACAATCCTAATTTAATTTTTGATTCAAAAATTTATATAGTGAAAATAATGAGCTGGCACTACTACAAAAACATATAAAGATCACATTTTTTTGTGCGATATATGTTATTTAATTACACATTTTAAGTTTTATTAAAGTGTGATATTTTGGAGTGTGATTAAAAGGGGTCATTTTTAATCACACTTTTTAAGTGGGCTTAATAACATTTAGACCACACATTTTAAGTGTGATTAAAAATATTTAGATCACATCATTTAAGTGTAATTTATAACATTTAGATCACACCTTTTAAGTGTGATTAAAAATATTTAAATCACATCTTGTAAGTGTGATTAATAATTAATAAAATCTGTGATAAAAAAGGATTCGACATGTTGGAAAAATAATCAATATTATTTTTGTATGCACATTTGAAGAATGTAATATACACTATATACTATACTTTGAATCATAACCATATTGAATAGAATAACGTTATATATTTCATTAGTGAAAATTAAATGTTCAAAAGTATATACAAAGGAATTAAATAAAAAAAATTTAACTGTGCTTACATATATTAAAAAATGAAAAAACTTAAAAAACTAAGTTCTTTAATTCTTGGACCATATTTTGCATCTCTCCAAGAAATTTCTGACCTGAAAAATAAAAACACAAATTAATCCAGAAACCGCTAATGCATATGAATAAACTAAAAAGTTAATTCAACAAACCAAAATGGGAGCATTAATCATTTCTGCTTGATCTTAATCCTTTTGGAAGTAACTTTCCTGTTAACAATTAGATGCCATAGCAGCTCAGTGTCAATGACATTGTAATTAGGAGGTCACTAATGAGCACAGTATTTAAAAATGATAAAATCTCAATACAGCTTGTGTACGATCTTTTTGTGAATGTATATTATTATTACTGTTGAACCATAATTCTAGGTACCCATAAATAAATAAATAAAAACTCAAAAATTTACTCTTTTTTTTGGGGGGGCGTACATACATTGCAGTTACTATTACCAGCAGCAGCAGGTTTTGGAGAAGCAGAGGCTGCATTTTCTTTTGCACCTTTGGAAAAAGAAGAGAAAACAGCTACCCATTTCATGCATGTCTGTCTACCAAAGAAAAAGTGCAAACACTAACAGCTGGCACAAGCGTATGAAAACTCATAAAGAAAATACATTATTATCTCAAAATACCTGGCCAAGCATTATAGCCTCTGCTTCAATTCCTCCAACTCCCCAGCCAGCAACTCCTAAGCCAGCAATCCAAGTAACAGTTCCTCAGAGAACGTGAACTGAGACACGCATTCTTAAGAATTACATGGATTTTGAAATCCAGCATGGTATATCCTTCATAAAGTTTAAATAAGAATTGGATGATCTCTACTATAAATGTTAACAACTAAACTCTACAGTACAAGTCATACACAGTGTGTGAAGATAGTATAAATTCTGATAGGGTACTGACCACCATAAAGTTTTTAGTTAAAATTAATTGTTCCTTCCAGATACATAAAAATTAACTCACCTTGAAAAAACTACTAATTACATCAAGACAACTCCAGTCCAAACCATAATAATCCAACAAGAAGCTTCTTTTGAGCATGTTTCGCATGTTTTCAACATTTCAAATATAAGTAGCATTGTAGCTCTTATGTTTCAACAGAAAATAATTCCTGGAATATATTTTTCCAAAAAACTATAAATATATTAGGTCAGACTAATTAAGATAATAAGGTAATATGAATAATGGAATAAAATTATAGAGTGTATTCAATCAACTTTAGGACTGTTTTATGCCTAAAATTTACTTCAGTAGTCTCAAGAAAGATTTATCAAATTTTTTTCCAAACAAAATGAAAAGGCCTAGGCACTTTTCAATTTATGGAAAACACAATTATGGTGTCAGGTCAGTTCTTTTAGCTAGAGTTTCTTTATCCATATTTTTCATATAAAGAAGTTAGGAACAAATGGTAGAACCCAATCGAGACTTAACAAGCCTTGTGTTTGTATCATTAAAATCAATCTACAAGAAAGTAATAACAATTCAAAAAGAATAGGCAAGAAATGTAAGAAGTGTACCTAGAACCTTTTTACTGCGTAAAATATCTCCATATATGTGATCCCCAACATAAAGAACCTATTAAATTTACAACATATTAAAAATTAAAACCATAATGTGGCCTTCTGGATTTAGAACCATAATCACATTAAAACCTAGAACAAGTAAAAATTAATTAAATGAAATAATGAATGAAAGACAAATTAAATTCCTCTCTAGTGAGGAAATGTAATAGTTAATGAACACATCTTAATGAGAAATGAATAAGTAATAACTAATTAAATGAAATAATGAATAACTAATAAGTAGTCAATGAATACATCTTAATGGAAAATGTAGCAGTCAAAGTGATGGCTTCTTGATAATGTCTAGAAACCATTTGAAAAACGGGGGAAAAAAAATATAATCAACATGTTAACAAAATGCACCAGACACAGATACTAAAGGCAAAAATGCACCAGATTAGCAGATTAACATACTGCTGACTTGTTAGCAAAAATGCACCAGATTAACAGAACAACAGTAGGCACCAGAGCAGCAGTATGAAAACACAGATATACTAGATTAGCAGGAGCACCAGACCAAACACTAATGTAACAGTAGATACACCAATGTAACCATTACACAGATACAGAGGCACCAGATTAGCAGATTAACATACTGCTGACTTGTTAGCAAAAATGCACCAGATTAACAGAGCAGTAGTGTGACAACCCTCACCACTGATTAGTGCTAATCAATGATTAAGCATGTTAACTAACTGATTGATTGAAATTCTGAATTGATTGATTGAGTGTATTAGTTTAAATGCATGTCTATCTGTTTGACTGCTAAATTATCTGTTCGTGTATTATGTTTAAACTGCAAATTGAAAGCCTTATCGGCGGCCGAATTCGGAACCGATTAATGTTTTATGCTAATTGGAATTTATGTGATTTTATGGTATATTTAATTGAAATGTGATTTGGTATGATTAAATTAGATTAAATAGTGTTAAACTACACTAGTTATGTTTATTACCCTTTTGCCATCTAGTGGGGCACTTCACCAAATGTTGTTTGAAGCTTAGTCTTGCATCATTCCTCATTTCCTCTAAGACCAAAACGTGAGAGAGCTAGAGTGTTGGAGAAATTGGGTTCAACTAGAAACCTTGCTTGAATTTAGAAGCCTTGAAGAGGAGATTGCAAAATTAGACTCCCACACTTGAAATTGAAGGCATAAGGTAGGAGAATCACCTTCTTGATTGTTAAATTAAGTCATATATTGCACGGTTCATGGAAGTTTAGAGTTTAAAGTCTAGAATTGGTTAAGATTGTTGAATTGAGGCTTAAATCATGCATGCATGCGCATATCATGAAGTTTAGAGTTGTTTTCATGGAAATTATTGCATGCATGTTCATATTTTTGGTCTTGATCCATGAACTCACCATGTTTTGAAGTTAAACATTGCATTTGATCTTGTTTTGTGGCATTGGTGTTCCTAGGAACCCATGCATGTATTGAATTTGCATTGTTCTTCATGTTTATGAAAACTTCTTTGAATTTGTGTTCAATTGAACTACCTTTGGACTTTGATTTCTCAAATTGATCTTTGAAACATGTCAAATTATGAGTTTACAAATGTTTCCAGAAAATTAGTCCAAAAGGATCGAATTTGATGCTTCAAAGTTGAGTTTTGAGCTTGAGGTTCAAATCTGGAAATTCTAGATTTTGGACTCACGTTCGAGCGGGAAACTCCACGCTCGAGCGTACACACTGAGTTCATGCAGTCCGCTCGAGCGGGGAAAGGGACGCTCAAGCGGGAAATGCGTGTATCCAGTACTTTGCCCATGTTTACAGTCCGCTCGAGCGAGGGAATGCACGCTCGAGCGAGGACTTGTGTCTCACACTCGAGCGGGGATCGAGCGTCCGTCGAGTGTGAATTGCATGCATCCTGTACTTTTGCATGATTTTACAGTCCGCTCGAGCGGGGGAAACTACGCTCGAGCGGAGCTCTTTTGTCTGCATGTCCGCTCGAGCGGGGAAATCCACGCTCGAGCGGGACCCCCTATTTTCTGAAAATTCTGAAAAGTGTTTAAAAGTGCATCTTTGCATCCTCATTCCATCATAGGCATTCCTAGGCCTAGTTTAAGGCATCTTAATGAGGATATTGATATAGAATCACACCAAGGCAAATTAGGGATTAAGTTATTATTTTTCAACTGTGTAGCTTAGTGTGTGTTCGTTCTGTAACTGTGTAGGGTTGGCATCCGAGGATGCTCTAGCTTATTTGTAGCCCAGAACTCTGTGAGTAACAATGTTGTAAAGATATGTTCAATCATGAGTATTTTTTGAATGAGCAACTGTACCGCTTTCTGAAATGATATTTCTTACTGAATGAATGTTTGTCTTATTTGTGAACTGTATTCGTGGCATCCATAGCAATTTACTGTTATTGTACTGTACTGCTACTGTCACAGAGATCTCTGTCGGTTTCCATGTTTGGAACCACTACTGTTTACTGATATGATGGCCATCAACTGACTGTTCGGTCTGTTAAGACCTACTGTACTGTTTTGCTATTGGATGTACCACATATGACTATTATAGTTTCTAAATGACTAATATAACTGTTAAATGACTGAAAGGACATTCATTCCTAACCTCTTTACGCATATGTTATTCACTGGGCTTTAGCTCACTGCTCATATATATATGTAGGTGTTCAGGCACCGGACCGTTGCTAGAAGCGTCAGGCTAAGCCCTTGTTCTGTCAAGCCAACCAACGTGCCTCACTGCGAGGTTCCAAGTGCTGCCAAGCTAAGGCTGCTTCAGAGTGTTTTAGTTTCTCCCTTTTCTGTCTCTGTTTTGTATAGACTGTATAGACTGTTACTGTACTGTTATGGTAGGGATTTTGGTCCCTAACCTGAATATCTGTATATGATGTATGTACATACTGTTATGGTTTGAATGTGTATATGTTTAAAAAGTCTTTTTGTATACAGACTGTCACAGCTCATTGGACATCTTTTATTATTGTTTTGGCTTCCGCCAGCCCCTGTACTCTGCATTACTGTTTTACTGTTAAGCAGGCCTTCGGTAATCTCGGATTACTGGCCGGTTACGGTGCTAAACCCATAGGGGCAAGTTTGGGTCGTGACAAGTAAAGCAGCATACAAAGGCACCAGATTAACAGAACAACAGTAAGCACCAGAGCAGTAGTATGCAACACAGATATACTAGATTAGATACACTAATGTAATGGCATATTAGGACACATATATAGCAGAACAGAGCACAGGTACACCAGAGCAGTTCACAGATACAGAGGCAAAACACACTTAACAGCAGAACAAACCTCTGAACTTGACTCTATACCCAGCAGTTTATGCAGATGACCAACATTGCCCCCTTGAAAATGTAAGTTCAAAAATATGACTAGCATATAAAATTATTATTCGAGAACCAAGTGAAATTTAGCAACATAGAGAAAATGCCCATAACCAAAAGCACGCAATACAATGTCCAGGAATTTTACAAGGTAGATTTGTAATAGAAATAACTTATTACCTGGAACACTTTACAACTCTTATTCAAGCTCTTTAATGGTAGTCTTAAAGCACCTCCCACCTAGGTAATAGAAGATGAAATTGTAAAAACACAAAACAAAAGAAGATAAGGATGCTGTAAACTTTAGAAGAACATAGGACATGTAAACCAACCTGAGGCATAGGAGTACCATTATCAGTATTAAGAAGCATCCGAGACGCAGGCTCAACCTCAAAAAGATTGGCACGGTTTTCATCATGGAAAAGACTTTGTTTTGCACTGTAAAAAAGAACTAATGCTTCCTTAGATATAGCTTCAAATTTTAAAGTTCAGTAGTCCTAAAATTAGGAAAGCACATTAAAAACTAGCATCCAACTTGGCAATTGGTCCTATCCATCATACCTGTCAACACTCTGATAGAAATGACTCACTTTTCACCTAGTTTTTGGCATATATATCATATAACTTCTCGTGAGAAAAAAGGATTTAAACCCATTTTAGAACTCATTACCATAGGTTGAAACAATACACTCTTCATAGCTCTAAGGCATCTAACTCATACGTTAAGTGTAGACTATATAAATAAAGAAATAAAAATGAGAACAACCCCAGCAATTCTACCTATAGCATGTAAGTTTTAATAGGTTTTATTATTTTGAGAAGAGAACAAAACCTGCCAGTGGTGACCACATTGAAGAATCGGAGCCACTCAAAATTCAAAGTGGAACAACTATCCGATGTTTGGGGTCCACAGAGAAAATTCATTACGATGTTTGTGTAGTCCCATAGACTGCAACATATATAAGTGAGATTCTTAATAATGTTAGTTCTTGCAAAAAACATAGCCTACTTCTGAAAACTAATACCTTCAAGTTTAATACAAACATAACAATTTTAGGAGAAGAGGGAGGAGGAGGTAAGATCACACAAACAAAATCAACCTATATAGTGGAATAAAAAGCAAAATAAGATTCTCAAATCCATATGTATATTCAGCATCAAGAAAAATCATTTCAAATGTGATTGATAAAAAAAAGAATCACAGCCTGAAATGTACGTATGATGTAGAGAAAAATGAACCTCCCAAAAAGGTGCAAACATGTTGGAATGAAAATCACATACGTATCGAGTGGTTCCCAATATGTATCGGTTCATAACAAATTTACCATTTATACAATCGATTCACAACCAATATGACCAGTTATAAAGCTCTCTTTTATTACTATTTTTTTTATTACTTCTAGAATATCCACTACAACAATACTTGATTCCTAATATGTATCGCTTGATACTCTTGATACTGTTGTGTAGTGATTGATACTAATATGTCTAACCATAGTGCTATATAAAACCATGCATTCTATATTGGAAGTTGATTCGCTTTTTTTCATGTTAGAAATTTCAGCCTACAATATCAACAACAAGCCATACAGTGACAAGAAGCAATGGAAGGGGAGGACAAGGTATTGCCAGTGAAGGAAAGAAGAAAAGATCTGAAGATAATTCAGAGACACCCACAAAGAAGCTTAAGCATGACACTTCTTCTACACTCTCATCTTCAAAGGTATATATATACATATATGTTTAGTTTCATTTTCAGAATTTATTTATTTATTTTTCCAAAAAAGAAAGACTAGTTTTGTAAATTTGTTTTTCTGTGGTTTATTTTTGTTAAACTAATTTTTAAAAAATAAAAAACAGATTATGAAAACAAACCAAACATAACGAAATAAATTTGTATATGACAAAAAATCTCAAACAGCATATCACCAAAATTTATTATTAATATATACATTTTTTAAATTAATAGATGCAGGTCACAAAAGTCAAGCTTGGAGACAAAATCACAGCCCTCCAACAAATTGTGTCGCCATTTGGAAAGGTTATAAACATAAAAAGCACTTAGACTTGTCCAATAATACTCTGTGTTATTTCATTAAGCTTTATCGTTATTATTACTTATTTTTAATTTTGATATTGATATTCATTAGTATATTAATTAATACTATTTGACGTGGGCAATATTCATTGGATCGGTTTTTCAGACGAATACGGCGTCGGTGTTGGGGAGGCAATTGGATATATAAAGTTCCTACAAGAGCAAATCCAGGTGAAAGCAATTTCTATATTATCTTCCTTAATCATAAAAAATTAATATTAAGGCAAATGTAGACCATTATTTATTAATAATAATAATAATAATAGTCACTGAAATAGGTGGTAGGAATTATAACCAAATCATGATTATTTAGAATTACATAGGCCAAATTAAAGTGGATACATGATGAAAGCACTAGCATCTAAATTATAAATAAATTTAAAAAAAAAAAAGTTCAAAAATTGTTGATTTATTCTACATGATTGTAATTGAGTCACAAACAAAATAAGGGGGATTTTTTGTTCCAATCTTTGAAGGTTTCTCCCCTTTGGTCCATCTATAGAGATGAGTAAGGAAAACTTACAGCTTCAATCCAGTGTTGGAAAGCCAATTTTTGTGCTTTGGTGTCTTTGGACAAACCCTTACCAACCTACCCAACACAATTAACATGATAATCTTAAGTCACTTCGTTGAAGACATAATAATATAATACTACTTAATTATTAGATTAATTGGTATTTTAAAAAAATTATTACAGATTCATGAAAGTTTTTAAAAAGAGTTTGGTTATTAATGATGTAAAAGTTTACCATAGATGATTTTATAATTATTTTTAAAAATTACACTAAATTGGGGAAAAAATTTAGAAGAAGAGGAAGAACCAGATGACCTTGGAAGCATTCAACCTGACTCGACTCCAGCGAGAAGCTGCGGTCTCTGGTTTGGAGAAATTGAAGAATGTAATCGTACTGTGATGCAACCGAGCATAATCGATCGCTTGCCACCTTCAAAAGCATATATAAACAAACATCTCTACTGTAATTGATTTGAGCTTATACATATATACATACATATTAAAAAAAAAAAAATCAAAACCCCCAACCAGAAATCGTTGAATCAAATGCCCTAATTCAAAAACCTAAACCAGAAATCATTGAATTGAAATCCAAATAGTTTAATTAAATGCCTTAATTTAAGAAGGGAAGGGTTTCAGAAAAGAAAATAAACAAACTTTAGATTTAGAACCTTACCAAAATTGCAGGTCTTTCCCAAGCCAATGAGTTTCGAAAGGTTGTACGGGAAATGAAGAGCATCGTCTATAGCGAATAGGGTGGGTGTCTATTGGGGAAGAGGATCCGAATTCGGGGAAGAGGAGGAGACACAAAGGTTGTGCCGATGAGGTGTTTATCGTTCTGAGAGAGAGAGAGAGAGAGAGAGAGAGAGACGGACACAGCGTAAATCACAAAAGAGAGAAGAAGAAAAGAAGAAACTGTTGCGTGTGTGTGATGGGTGAGAACTCTCTAATGTGTAAAATAATCTCAGCCATTTATTTGTCGTTTGGAAGGATCTGTGGACCATTCTAATCAATTATAAAGGATATATATTTTCATATAAAGGATCAATTATAAAGGATATATATTTCCTTTTGGTTAGAAGTAGTCAAAGAGTTAAATGTATTTTGAAATATTTCTTTTTATAATTTGTGTTTTGGTGTTGGGGCCTTTTTTTTTTTTTTTAAAAAAAAAATATAAGTAGAGGTGTATATATAATCACACTTTAATTAGAATGTGTGATTAAAAAATATATATATAATCACACTTGTTTAAAAAGTGTGATTAAAAAGTAGTAGTGTATATATAATCACTCTTTAATTAGAAGGTGTGATTAAAAAATATATAAATAATCACACTTTAATTAGAATGTGTGATTAAAAAATATATATATAATCACACTCATTTAAAAAATGTGATTAAAAAGTAGTAATGTATATATAATCACACTTTAATTAGAATGTGTGTTTAACAAATATATAAATAATCACACTTTAATTAGAATGTGTGATTAAAAAATATATATATAATCACACTCATTTAAAAAATGTGATTAAAAAGTAGTAATGTATATATAATCACACTTTAATTAGAATGTGTGTTTAACAAATATATAAATAATCACACTTTAATTAGAATATGCGATTAAAAAAAAAGATATATAATCACACTGATTTAAAAAGTGTGATTAAAAAGTAGTAGTGTATATATAATCACACTTTAATTAGAAGGTATGATTAAAAAATATATATATAATCACACTGGGCAATTTTGTAAGACTGTGAAAAACACATTGATTCAAATAACACAGTGTGAAAAACACATTGATTTAGATCCTCTTCGATTAATTGATCGATTCCCATATGCCTATTAACCAACTCAATACTGTAAACAAAAGAAAACCTAAAGAAACTAACAAGAATTTCTGGTAATTTCAGTTTAAAAAAAAAAAAGAAAAATAGAATTTTCAATCATAGATTTTCTGCTAATTTATCATTAAAAAAAATTCCTCAAGGGCTGAGTTTTTCTGGTCTCATGGATTGATATCAGATTCCTCCTACAATTTCTTCGCTTCATCTTGTAACTATTCTCGCTATGTAAGCAGAGAAACTAACCGAATAAAATAGAGTGAATGTGTGTGTGTGTGTGTGTGTGTGAGAGAGAGAGAGAGAGAGAGAGAGAGAGAAAAGGGCGGGGGAATCCGGACATACCTCAAGAACGAAACCCTTCCACTTCGAGCCGTCGACCGTTGCCGTCGCTGAACCAGTCTCACCGTTGGAGGGAGCGCACCGTTCCAGATCGAAATCTGATGCCGCTGAACCAATCTCCCTTTCGAACCCTTCTTTCTTCTCCCTCTCTTCTATTATCTGATTTACATCTTTCACGTTCCTTTAGAACCCACTTAGGAGCCAAATAGTTTGTATTTTGATATAAAAAAAAAAATTATGGCGCTTAATTTTCACTTAATTTTTTGGGTGGCGCCAGATCCTATTTTATTTTGGTGTTTAATTTTTTTTTGATCACACCATTTACGACATAAATTGAACGCCGTGAAAAATAAAATATGTTTAACGAAAAAAGCTTCGGACCCCCACTGGGGGTCGCCCCCCAGTGAGGTGGCGCGCTGTGATTGGACAAAAAAAAAAAAACTGTTTTATTTATTTTTATTTTTTTTGAGTTTCAGCCAGTGGAGGCTCGCCACCTCACTGGGGGTGCGACCCCCACTGGGGGTATGCAGCAAGATTGTATGTTTAACGATTGACGTACGCGTATCGTGTATAATTGATATATTTACGGCATGCCAAATGTATGTCATAAAAAGTTTTATTATTTACGGCTAACATTGTAAGCCATAAAAAAATCATTGTTATTAACATTCATGACATACGCAATAGACAGGTCTTGGTTGGGAAATTATTTACAACATGCAAAAAAAACAAGTCGTACAAATGAGAAATCACGGCTTGCATTTACTGTATGTCATTGATATGAAGCCGTAAAAACCCAATTTTGTTGTAGTGTAATAAGTACAATAACTTGCAGCCTAAATTAATGATTGATCAATCTTATGTAAATAGGTTGCTCGTCATCAAAAGGACCCAACTCCAGAACATCTATAATTCATCTATTATCATAAAAACTTCGAATTAAAATATGATTTTTATAAGACCATGAGAAGAGACTGATGCGCGTCTAATGTGTATATAAATTTGATATAATTAGTAACATAAATCCAGTGTTGGAAGGCCAATTTCTGTGCTTTGGTGTCTTTGGACAAACCCTTACCAACCTACCCAACACAATTAACATGATAATTTTAAGTCACTTCGTTGAACACATAATAATATAATACTACTTAATTATTAGATTAATTGATATTGTAAGAAAATTATTACAGATTCATGAAATTTTTTAAAAAGAGTTTGGTTATTAATGATGTAAAATTTTACCATAGATGATTTTATAATTATTTTTAGAAATTACACTGAATTGGGGAAAAAATTTAGAAGAAGAGGAAGAAGCAGATGACCTTGGAAGCATTCAACCTGACTCGACTCCAGCGTGAAGCTGCGGTCTCTGGTTTGGAGAAATTGAAGAATGTAATCGTACTGTGATGCAACCGAGCATAATCGATCGCTTGCCACCTTCAAAAGCATATATAAACAAACACATTTACTGTAATTGATTTGAGCTTATACATATATACATACATATTAAAAAAAAAAATCAAAACCCCCAACCAGAAATCGTTGAATCAAATGCCCTAATTCAAAAACCTAAACCAGAAATCGTTGAATTAAAATCCAAATAGTTTAATCAAATGCCCTAATTTAAGAAGGGAAGGGTTTCAGAAAAGAAAATAAACAAACTTTAGGTTTAGAACCTTACCAAAATTGCAGGTCTTTCCCAAGCCAATGAGTTTCGAAAGGTTGTAAGGGAAATGAAGAGCACCATCTATAGCGAAGAGGGTGGGTGTCTATTGGGGAAGAGGATCTGAATTCGGGGAAGAGGAGGAGACACAAAGGTTGTGCCGATGAGGTGTTTATCGTTCTGAGAGAGAGAGAGAGAGAGAGAGAGAGAGAGAGGGACACAGCGTAAATCACAAAAGAGAGAAGAAGAAAAGAAGAAACTGTTGCGCGTGTGTGATGGGTGGGAACTCTCTAATGTGTAAAATGATCTCAGCCATTTATTTGTCGTTTGGAAGGATCTGTGGACCATTCTAATCAATTATCAATGATATATATTTTCATATAAAGGATCAATTATAAAGGATATATATTTCCTTTTGGTTAGAAGTAGTCAAAGAGTTAAATGTATTTTGAAATATATTTTTTTTATAATTTGTGTTTTGGTGTTGGGGCCTTTTTTTTAAAAAAAAAAAATGAGAATTGTATATTTTATATAAAAATCAAATTGAAATATTTTATACAAACACACCTGCTTAGGGAGTGTGATTATATATATATATATATATATATAATCACACTTATTTAAAAAATGTGATTAAAAAGTAGTAATGTCTATATAATCACACTTTACTTAGAAGGTGTGATTAAAAAATATATACACAATCACACTTTAATTAGAATGTGTGATTAAAAAATATATATATATAATCACACTCATTTAAAAAGTATGATTAAAAAGTAGTAATGTATATATAATCACACTTTAATTAGAATGTGTGATTAACAAATATATAAATAATCACACTTTAATTAGAACATGTGATTAAAAAAAATATATATAATCACACTGATTTAAAAAGTGTGATTAAAAAGTAGTAGTGTATATATAATCACACTTTAATTAGAAGGTATGATTAAAAAATACATAAATAATCACACTTTAATTAGAATGTGTGATTAAAAAAAATATATATAATCACTTATTTAAAAAGTGTGATTAAAAAGTAGTAGTGTATATATAATCATACTTTACTTAGAAGGTATGATTAAAAAATACATAAATAATCACACTTTAATTAAAATGTGTGATTAAAAAATATATATATAATCACACTTATTTAAAAAGTGTGATTAAAAAGTAGTAGTGTATATATAATCACACTTTAATTAGAAGGTGTGATTAAAATATATTTTAGGCAAGCTGATGTGTCTTTTACTCACCCTTTTTTTTTTCTTCTCAATTTGTGCCCTTTTTTGTCACCATATGTAACCAACCCATCTTTTCGGTTTGAATTTTTTCACGCACTCCTAAAAGATACCTCCAATGGGTCTTCCATTCTTTCTATGGAGGCCATGAATTTGTTGAAGGTAGCTCAAACTCTTATTTTAAAGCGGTGCTCTTTGTAAATTAAAGTATATATTAATATGCATTATTAATTAATCTTCTTCGCTAATATCGTTTTGTTTGGTTATTCACTCCACAAGAAAAATAAAATAAATTAGTTTGGTTCAAAATAATTTTTAATTGATTGAAGGAAAAATATCGAATAATTGAGAAATGAAAAAAACTAATAAAAAAATTAATATAGTAAGAGTGGAGCAAGTGCATGGGCGACCGAAAACTAGGCCAACTTTTCTATTTTCTTCTTTACTGGTCAATATGAGATTAATTATAAATATAAGAATAATTATATCAAATTAAATAATTACAATTCAATTATATATAATTAAAAACTCAACAACCGTTCCAACAAAGAACTTATAATGAGAGAAAATAAGCACCTCAACGCAACAAAGGACCCTCCTAATGCCAAATGAGAGACAGTCAATATTTGCAATTAGTTTTTTCACTTTCTATTTATTTTTCAGAAACAAAAATCTGCGAACCAAAACTAAAAATTTATTTTTTGCAACCACGGTGATTAACTAATTACAGCATGTTTTCATTCTTAATAACCGTAATTATCATTCGCTGCATGATATGGTATGAGTTTGATATGTTCTAAACAAACACAAATATCAAAATTATTAGGTTTGG